TGGCTGAGAGACAGCTGTCCCTGCCGCCGCCGGCCTATCGGTGACCTTGAAGGGAGCGAGGAAGAGATTGTGTCGCTCAGCTGCCCGGCTGCTGTTATCACTGGTAGACACCGTATCACCTGTGTGTGTAGACGAGGGGGCGGCTATATGTGTGTGTTTCCCTGTGTACGTGTCTGCTTGCGTTTGTACAGACTGAGTGCATCTGTCTGCGTAGATTTGTATTCAGGAGTCTACAGCTCACCACCTGCATATTCTTACTGATAGGGGAAAGGATATTTACTCTGTGTGTGTGTGTGTGTGTGTGTGTGTGTGTGTGTGTGTGTGTGTGTGTGTGTGTGTGTGTGTGTGTGTGACAAAGAGACAGCTAACTTGGTCTCCTGGTTGAATGAGGGGATATGTGGGTCATAGAATACATATGTTCTCTGGTTTGCTGACCTCCTGTTTTCCTGACTGCTGCCGACAAAGGAAATATTCGTGGAAAAAGCAAAAAAACCAAAGCAACACCAGCGGTGTTTGAGGTGTTTCTCATACCTGGTGTGCTTTCTTAAAGTCTCACAAACAGCCTGAGGAGTGCATGCAAATCCACAGCCACTTTGCAAATTTAATGAGATGTTTTGTATGCTTTTCTATTGTGGTTAATAGACTTTTTTATGCAAGGTATCCTCCAGCTGAACACACATTCATGGATTCACTTCCTAGCTCTGCATAGGTTCAACCTGTTCAGGGAATTGAGCTGTAATTTTTATTTTTGAAATCAGATTTCTGCCTTCAGTAGAACTGTAGTGGATTCTGCAATGGTAGTTTTTAATTCTTTTTCCAGATGTGTGAAAAAAAGTGCCAGGAAAACGATTAAACAGTGTTTATCTGCGCTAAACTACAAATGTTATCATGTACAGCTAACCAGCTACAGTATTAACTGAGCGTTACTTCCAAGGTGAAGGAGAATATTATTAGCTAATCATGTTATTTTGGTTAGAAAAGTCCTTGTTTAGGACTGTAACATCCTGCAGTGTGGAAGCACAGTGTCTCGGGTTAGCAATGTAAGCTCTGTCCTGTACTTTATTGGATGTTGAGAAATTTACATTCCTGCAACCTCAACTGATGTTGATACCCGAGATAGGGTCACATTTGCCAAACAGCCCTCATCCTTTCCTTCTGTAAATATAAAATTGGCTGTAATAATGTTAAATCTAAACTCTTTGTTGTTTGTCTTGAATATGTTTTTCTTTAGAAAGGTTAAGTTAGAATTAAAGATACTTTTTATTTGCCTTACTATAATGCTGTTTGGGTCCAACCTGCACACGGCTTTATGTCCGACCAGGAGCGTTTCAGTTTAACCAGGCAGATTTTGTTCATTTCTGGGTAAGTAGGCTACGTACTCCAATTGATTCTTTTTTGTCTGTTTTTACAATCAGTGGTCTGAGATATTTATTTTTAAAAGTTCACCAGATTCTCTTTGCTGTTCAAGAGTGAACCTATCGTGACGTAACCCACTGGTTTGTGGAGCACCATTTTGAAGTCTTGAGTTTGGTGTTTTGGCCGTTGCCATGACAGTAAGACAGAACCAGCTAAAAGCATTGAGAAAGACAGTCCGTCTCACTGAGTTAATGTTACTTGGTTAGCTAGCTAAAGCTGATCATATCTGCTAGCGACAGTCAGCTAAATTCACCACCTAATAATGAGAAGCTTTCTCTGTCTGAAAAGACTAAATGTTTCAGAAATAACTAAAAATTTCACACCACAATTGTCATTGTAAAACATATAAAGTGCGAAAACAGAGAGTTTGAGAGGCATAGCAACAGTGACAATGCGGCTGAGGCTTAATGAAAGAACGTTAAAAAGCAAGAAAGTCTTGCAAAGTCTCGACTATAGAAGTCAAGATACTGAGGGGATTCCAGTGTGGAAGTGTCCAATGAGACCATTTTGTGGACAGTCCTGAATTGCACAGAATCCCAACTCATACCAGTTATAGTTCATATAACTCACAAACAGAGGTTAGTCATAAAATGTATTCTCATAAAGCACACTTTTACAGTCTCCAGTGTTCTGTGTGTGAGCCTTCAGTCGGGGTTTTATGGAGTTTTCAGAAGCAGCAGGCACCAAGGTGACATTTCTGCTCTCAGCACCAACTTCTTGCTCTAATCGCTGAGAGAGTCTGAGCCAAGCCAACTGACCATCACTGCCTCTGCTGGGTGGTTTGGCAACAGGTGCTGCAGTGTGTGTGTGTGTGTGTGTGTGTGTGTGTGTGTGTGTGTGTGTGTGTGTGTGTGTGTGTGTGTGTGTGTAGACATAGGGAAAGAGAGGGAGGTGGTCTAGGACTAAAGCCAGCAAGCACAGAGAGGGTCAAAGGGCAGGGAGATATAGGAGAGCCAAATCTACAGTCCACAAACACTCCAGACACACAATCAAGCTCGCTCTCTCTCTCTCACACACACACACACACACACACACACAAACTGTAGTCTCAGTTATACACACACTGCCCAGGGCTGTATAACCTCATTGTTTAAAGATCACGTTTTTTGGAGGGAATGTTCAGCAGCTGGCAAGGTTGAGAGTCAGAAAAGAAATTCTGGTCAAAATGTAAAAACAATAAATGTCAGTAACTTCTTTCACATGAGATCGTATGATGGTGAATCATGTGATAGTGTTCAACAGGCTTGCTATCTACAATACCGAATAAAACCTAGTATGGTTATTTACAAAGTGAAATGTTTTCTCATGAAACGCAGGAAACTCTGAAGTGAATTTCACCACTTGACGAGCACACCCATCACTGCCCATCTGTGTCACAAAGACATACACATAGAAGGCACACAGACTGCCTTCAGATAGACCATCCATTGCACAAAGATGTCTAAATCTTTACTATCTTATGTTGTACTTATGGATTAGTTATATTCAAACTAAACAATATGGCCAACGGCCAAGAGTGCAGCTCCGTTCCATCAGCTACTTTACACTTAACATAATTCTGTGATGGATATCACAAATACATTGAGTCAACATTTATAATATCAAGGTACCGTTAAAGCCAATTTTATTTGTGACACTTTAAAGGTTATGTAGCAGCTAACAACTATTAGCTATGTAAAGGTACAGTGGAATCAAGGTGTCCTGAGCCGATAATGACATCACCCTCTGCCTGTGTTGCTATCGCAGCCTCTCTGTGGTTTGTTTACATAGCCAATCTGCTCCGCATGCAGCTGAGCAGAGCGACTGAAACTGCAGTTTTTATCATCTACGCCGGCGATTGTTGGAACAGTGGAAAGACGAACAGAAGTGGTTTTGGCGAGTTTGTCTCCACTTTGAATGAAGTTACACTGTACAATAATAGGTGAGGTAAAACCTTTTTTTTCTTCTATGGAGGCTGGTGGCGATATTACAGCTGTTTCTGGTTAAACAAAAGGTCTATCTCTGTAGGGAACCAGTCCATCTTTAATCTCCACCAACTCCTGGAGGAAATATCTGACTCTTCAGCTGCTAAATGCTCCACTATGTTCACCAGACAATTTAGTCGTTTCAGGTTAGGCAGGTAGTATACCATTGGATTCAGGACATGGCTTTTTGCTGGAAACAGCTGCCTACTGCAGCTTGAAGAATAAAGGTGGGTGATATTTGTCTGTGAGTTTATCACTACAACCAACCTCCTTTCATGCTATAGTCATTTGATTCACTGTTGAATGTTGATATAAAAATATGGATTAGTGCAGCTTACCCTGTGGCTAGTGTTGCTCACTTTTAGGCCTTAAACTTGTGAAGATAACTGACTTGCATGAGAGTAGTTGAGTATAAGAGCAAAAGTACAAATGCAGCCAGCCCCTGAGCTTCAATGTGACTACAAAGCATCAATTATCAAAAGCACCTGGTGTTATTAACATTAGTCTCGTCTCCTGCCTCTCCCCTTTTTCACGCCGCTCAGTTTACCTGACCAGAAACTGTGATGTAACTCAATCAATGAGATCATGTCACATCCCTTTGAGTCTAAGAGAACAGAACTGAACCCAAAACAAGTCACTGCGTCTATGAATCACAGAGAAGGCGAGCGATGACCTTGGACGCCGGGGCAGCTTTGCCTCCGAGACATGTTTGCATAACTGAAACTCCAATCTGCACCCACACATGTACACATGGAGTGAAATGGGCAAAGTGACAAGCTGAAATACTTTTCTCAAAAAGCGAGCTTGCCTTGCTCATCATTTTCAGTCTTTCTTACCATTTGGGTCATTTACATACAAAGTATAAAACACACAGTTTACTGAGCAGATGGCTAAGTATTTCTGGATTTTTATATCCCTATACCACACTGCACAGCCTGCTAATGGCTAATTACATAAAGTATAATGGTTTAATAATGCTGAATAGTGAGAATGAAAATCTGAAGTATGGGATTATTCATTTTGTGTTCCCCATAATCCTCTACTGCAGGATAATGGAACAATAAAAAAAAACACACACTTACTAGTACCCATACTTTATCAGATATCCACACAAAAGCACAGACATGTTGGATTTGACTCTGACGCACAGGCTGAATAAAGCACCATAAAGCAATCTTACACCTATCTATCTTAACGCCTACATAGTTGGGAGAAAACAAAACAGCGAGTGTGTGGACAATCTGCTCTCCGTTCTCTGTACTGATGAGCTGTTTCACCGCCTGACGGAGCCAGTGGAGTCGGGCTGACGCCAGATGTCCCAGAATAATGGGCCTTTCTTTGTGTACCTGTTATCTCCTCGCCAGCCACTTTGAATAATGAAGCGATCTGAGGGTTTTCTACATGCACATCTCTGAGTGATCTGTGATTACGGATATGACAGTGGATGTGGCTTGATAAGAATGGCAGCTGAGTCCCTCTAATCTAAGTAATGAACATCCTGAGGCTGATTATGGCTTTTATAGAGCCGTTAACGACACTTGTGTGCAGTCTGAAAAGTTTTCTATAATGGAGTGAACAAATGTGAGAATAAAACCAGCGCAAATCAAACCATTGACTCACTGGTTCTGCAAAGGTTGGCATGGCAACCAATCAAGCACATCAGCAACACATCAGCAGTGCTAGAGGGAATCTTTGACCATCAGATTGGCTGAAATGAGATGTACAAAGGAGTATAAAAAAACACAAATAATTATAATACAATTTCATGGAGCATGCTGACACTTTAGCACAATGTATCATGCCACTGTTGCAGCACACTCACTATATTCAGTGGATGTCATGCTGCATTATGCTGTGCATGTCTAATGAGTGAGGCTTATAATTAAGCACATCACATATGTTTCATGCATCATGCTAACACATCAGCAAAATGTGTATGTTTGGTACATTGTGCAAAGCCTTAAATCAATGCTGGATTTCCAACCAGGTAAAATAGGCAGAACCTGAGTTTCACTGTGTGTCAGACACAGAAAACCTGGTGGCAGGTAGCTTAGGAGTGTCCGGTCTCTGGGAATATAATAAAGTTACCACGCTGCATGCATAAATGGGTTCAAACAATCGTTACATTTTTAAATGCAAGTGTAGCAATGGAAAGGGAAGAATTCCAAAACATGTTTTATGCTTAATTAAAAGTGCTCTGATTATTATTATATTAATGATGTGTATAGTGACAAACAAACAGAGAATTATCATCTAACTCTGTATATCCCCTCAGTTCTATGGAGCATTTTAGCAACTCTTAATTCATTGTTTTGGTTGTGCAGATTTTCTGTTTTGGTTCCCTCTCACTGCTCTCGTCAGTGTCCAGCAGCAGGAAGCTGTTCTTAGTGAAGCGACTATTTCACCATAGGTCCTAAATCTCCTCATTAGTCATACACAAAATGTAATTGCGCCTTCACCGTTTTGACAGTTTACGAAGCGACTGTAATGGTGGCTTATTCAAAAGATTGCACTCTGGAACCTGGTTTCAAAAGTTTATGGTTTTATGCAAAAACTGTTGTTGTGTAATGGGCCTAAGAACAACATTAAATGCTTTATGAAAGAACTATAAAAATTAAAAAACAATTTGCAGCTATCATCCAAAGTGGCATTCCCATCACCTACCTTATCGCAGTAACATTTGTGTCGGTTGTTATTGCGCTGCAAAACGCTTCCACCTTAAGTTGCAAGCCCTGTTCTCTGCAGTTTGTGTCTTCTGTTTACTTGGCCAAAGGGTAATCGATTTGACTCACCTGTAGATGCAGGACTTGACTCTGTATCCCCGGCGAGACGTCTTCTTGCAAAGGTAGGGGTGATGGTAGCTCTCCGGCTGGTAGGACTCTTCTGGCTTTGGCTGGTTCGTCTCTCATTACAGGATAAAAATGGCACAAAATTGTTCCACTATCCAAAACAACAAATCAGTTCACCCTTGGCTTGGTACCACTCACTATCTCCACCACTGTTCTCCTGGGTGCGTTGCATCAGTGGCTAATGAGTCAGACCAGCTCTCAAACCGTGTCTTCTTTTCCAGCAGATGCTCTCATTTTCCATGACTTTGCTGTTTTAACTGTTTTAGAAAAGCTTTAAATTCAATTGGCAAGAGAATGGTAACACAATAGGACTGAATTGCTAGCTGCTCTGCCTGTACACAGTCCAATGCAAACACTTCAGCAAACAGTACTGGAGGGCTTAGCACTATCTTAATGTTAGCCTATATGGAGCATTTGCACAGAACCCTAAATAGGCTACTGGACAAAGGAAATCACTGTTAATATTTATAACAGAGTTATTTTACCAACAAACGTGTTCAAGTAATATTCAGTTTATGATTCAATAACCCTCTGAGGCACGCTTGCACTGCAGTGCTCATATCTAATCAGACACAATGGAGGGTGGGTAAGGGTATTGATTACTCGGAATATCCTGGGATTTATAAATAAACGAATGCAGTACAATAAAATCAACAAGGCATGACAACTTTCATGCACCGTTTGACGGGCAGTGCTGTGGCATACATACAAATGGTCTGTTTGTGGGCTGGACTGGCTTTTTTTCCCTTACAGCATAGCCAAAGATCCAGGACCTATCAGCGTCACATGCAGTATATGGCATCCTCTGGTCCGTCCTAACAGATTAGAGTCCGGTTCTAGGGGAAATTCCCTTTCAAGACTTGGAATCAAAGATACTGTGCGTCAGAGGTTTTGTGTTATGTCACCTGACAAGATGACACTGGGGAGGGAGAAATAAGTCAGTGAGGAGTTTATGCAACCCACAGTGTGTTTGTGACTAGAGTAGAGAAGGACACACAGAGTTAAAGAACGAGACATGTCTGCCAACATAACTTCCTCATAATCGTCTGATGTTGCCCTCAAATATTGGGGGCATCTTGCTGACCCAGCAGTGTCTGAAGCTGTCTGACATCCGACAGGCCCCACCGATGAAACAAACTGGCAGCTTAAGTCTTAAGTTCCTCTGTGCCATGGAGCTCCATCGTTGCCCAAAAACTGTCAAAAACACGTCTATGAGCTACACTGCTAAACTATATTATTGGTGTTTTTAAAGCCGTTTTCCCTCTTTAACAGGAAGCAATGGGCTCGTGGCTGAGTGCCATGGAGAAGGTAGGGAAGACTGACTAACACGTTGTTCGCGTTGGTCTTTCCATGGGATTCATTGATAGCTTTATTCCTTAACAAAGAACTCCTTATCACTCCACTCTGATGAAGATACTGAATTCAGCCAGAGATTCAGGTTTCTGGAGAGACCCCACAAATGTGTATTAAAAGCTCCTTAGAAGTCACTTAGATGCACACGCACCTGCTATCACAACTTTCTACGTCTTCCTCCTGATCAAAGAAAGACGGTGATGGTGAGGAATAAGTTGGCGGTCAACCTACATGCCAAGACGGAGCTACAGAGGCTTCTTATGTAATGTTTGAGGAACAGCTGCTGCCGGGGAGTTCAAAGGGACGCACCGCCATGTCGGATGGATGTCAACAACAAGAAAGGCTGTAACTTTATCATGTCCTCACTGATCTTTTCTCCCCTTTTGTAGGTCAACCCCAACACAAAATAATTCTTTCTTTGTTAAGCTGAAGAGAAAGAGGAGGTCTTGGTAAAAATTCATTTTACAGGTCCATTAGGTCCTAATAGTTTCTTAAGAGCACTATGTGATTTGGTCGTAATTTTACCGGAAAATATAGATGGATGTTCGGAGACTCATTTTAGTCAGTTAAACTATTTATGATAACCTTCAAAGCAACTGTTTATTTCCAGATTTCCTTTAAAATAGGGCACAGGCAAAAATGAACTGACCATGAAATGGAAACTTTACTTTTCATATGTTAAATTGTGTGCCTGCCTGGAGACAAATTGCAAATTTTTTATGTTACGTTGGCTTAATTAGAGTTGAAATTACTTGAATTTCTCCCATTGGTGATCAATAAAGGAATAAAGGAGCATCTTATCTTATCTTACTGTTCTGTCCACGAAACTTCTTAGAAAATTGACAGAAAATTATTAGCCGTAAAATAAAATGTTATACCAGAGATTAAAGTTTTAGTTTCCTCGTCACAAAGCTGTCAGTATAATGCACATATTACTTATTATAATGCTGCAGTTACAGAGGAACCAAAAACACATTGCCAGCCCTTAAAGTGACACTATGTAACTTTTAAAAGAAGAAATGACAGTTCCTCTTAAAAAATAGCAGTTGAATTCATAAGCAATAAAACACAACACAGAGGTTTTGCTGTTGTTGCCTCACTTGTATTGATTGTATCGTAGCTTATGGTGGCTAATGTCAGCTAATTTCAAAGGACCAGTGTGTAGGATTTAGTGGCATCTAGTGGTAAAGATGGAGATTGCAACCAGTTGAATACAGTTCAGCCTTCCAAGGAGAAACTACAGTAGCCTTGAAACTCGAAACGCCCTATCTAGAGCCAGTACTCGGTTTGTCCGTTCTGGGCTACTGTAGAAACATGGCAGTTCAGCAACGGACTCTGTAGATAAAAACAGCCGACTGTAATGTAACAAAAACACAAAGATTATTATTCTGAAGTGATTATACTCTAATGAAAACATACCTATGAATATTATATTCCATTTCTGCCAATAGATCTTCTAAGTGTTACACACTGGACCTTTAAATCAATATTACTGCACAGTCTGTTTGCCAATTACATGACTCTTCAGTATTTGTGTGCTACTGCTACTAAGTTTTGACATTTACCACTATTATGTAACTGCCACTTGTGGCCACAGTGGCTCAGCAACAGTGACATAGTCTCGCTTTAATGTTTCTCGCTTTTAATGGTGGTGTGCAACATTCTTTAAAGATTTCTAGCTGTCACTTTTGATAAACATCTGCTTAATGCCTTAAGTGCATTTCCGGTATGGTTCCTGATTCCCAGTGTGACTATATACATTTTTTTAACTTTCTGATGTACAGACAAGAGGAAAAGCAGTATCCAAGGGACGTAGCAGGTGACCCTAAGGTCCAGATTTCAGTATTCAGTATTCAACCTGCTTCCTGACACAGCAATGTTCCTCTCCAGTGGCAGCGAACCGTTCATGTGTCAGAAAGGATGCCGTCATGTGCACCGTGTTTAATTGAATTAGCTCGGCTTTACACAGGAGTAGACGGAGCCACGCGTGCATTTGACATTACACACTGGCTGTTTATCTGAGCGGCAACAACTGGCAGTGAAACCCAATTCTCCACATGGGTTCTACTTTTAGACCAGGAAACAGGAGGTGAAAGGTTTAGCGGTTGTAAAGCATGAAAGACTGGAGACCGACAGAGCAGCAGCTAGTTAACCAGGTCATTTCAATGACCCCCATGAACCAGGGGGCTCTGACATTCATCTGCTGCTGTGCAGAAGGAAAGAAACCACAAGAAACACTGTGCTGTTTTTTTTTTTTTTTAATGGAATGTATCTTTTCGAGGTATGAAAATAGATCTCACGTTGAAATAAGAAATTGGACAGTGGCTACAAAGGGCACAGCTATAACTGTGTGTGTAATGATGGCAACAGGAAGGCATGTTAGAGAAGCATCACACCAGTCTCATTAGATAAAGGGCACAGCTATTACCCTGTGTGGGAGATGACAACAACACAGAGGCATGTGTTGGTTCAGAGGTGATACACTGGCAAGAGGGGAAAGCAGTGGGAAACACTTCCAGCAAACAGGAAACGACATGAGCCATGGTGAAATAAAATGTTTCTCGACAGCAAGACATCCCTCCATCATGGGAAAACAATGCAGAGGCAATTTTTGAGACCATTGCCTGTTACGTTCCACTAAATGTTACCTTGTGTATCACCACCTTTAGAAGTTTCACAACAATCACCCTGTTTAGTCTGTCCTTTTTTCTCATGAAAAGCATTTCGTGCCTTGCAATATAGAAGTTGCAGGTGAGAGATATAGTTTTATGAACATTTCTCAGAGGCAGAGCTGCTACAGAGACAGAAATAATCTGATTGGTTGTGGTAAATATCAGTGGGTGGAGCCAAAATCTGTGTTTTAGCTTAATTTAGCGAATTGGCGAGCTTGAATTGCAAAGAAGCAACTTAAGTCAAAATGATCCGCTACAGATAATGTACTTTTTACGAGTATGAGTAGAGTAGTAAAATGTGTCAATACCTGTACTCAAAAACTTTTATTTAAAAAAATTGCTCTGTAAATACTTTTCTGATAAATATAGCACCTTCTGATCAACCCGTATTATTTCAGACTTCCAGTTAGTCCTGAACACTTCCGGTTTAAGCACCACCAACGTCCTATTTAGACCCCGCCCATTCCAAATACGGATACTAATACAGATTATTTAGTTGGTTGAACACATACAGATGCAGATAATGGTGTACTCACTCATCCTTAATCAAAATACAAGATACGTCCACAGCATTTGGAATATTGGAAAGTCAGCAGCTAGCAAACTGCAATAAAACCTTCCAGCCCTTGTCACACAATTTCATTTATGTACCTCATTTAAACTGGACTCCAACGCACCATGTTTTCCAGGCCACAGAAAACGTTTTAACGTATTCAACCAGTGGGCAACTTTCTGGAATAAATGGGGCATAATCTTGAAACATATCCAGCTCTAACAAAGGCCCAGGAAGTGGCACAGCATTCATTCACAGGTTCTAGAAGCTTGAGACTCCTCGCAAGACTAGTTGGCGAACTTCTGTAGCTGGCGAGCAAAATGCTAACACGTAAGCCTGCCGGGAACATGCTCGTACTAGTCAGTCATAATATATCTCTTGTTACTCACTTGACAATAAGCAAGTTTTTTACGAGGCAATAGTTTCAGCCAAGAAAACTATCTGTACCATTGAGTCCGTCTCCAAACCCTGCCTCTGGTGTGGAGCAGTCGCTGACAGAGGGGGGTTCAATAAGAGTAGACGGAGCTTACAAGCTACAACCGCTTCTCCTGTTTGAAAGTTTAAACAGAGAGAAAATATCTCCATAAAATTCCTCCTTGTCACATGCTTATCAATTTGAAGTACATGCTTCTTTCAGCTTTTAGTTTCAGACTGCACGTACCAAGTCAGAAAAGATTGGTAATTTGTCCCCAGCCACTAAGATTTAATGCAACCACTTTAATGTCTTCAGAGCAGCTCTGTTCCTAGAAAGTGCCAATATAACAAAAACTGCACTGTGTGTGTAACTAACCATGTTACTACACTCTTCTCTGTAACCACTGAAACAAACTGAAGGTAAAAAGCTGGTATCTTACTCAGATTTAAGACTCACAAGAAAGCAAGAGAATTGTGTATCTAATGCAGCCAAATAAAATGATGGGAAATGATTGATGCACACAACAAAAATACTAAGATGTACTGTAGGTATTAATAAATCAAGCCATCAAACAAATTAGGTACAGGTCATGCAGGTATCTCATCGTATATCTATTTTAGCATAGTATATTCCGAGCTGTAGCACTGCACAAGAGAGAGAATGTTAATGATTCTTTGGTTCAGTTGAAAAATGAAAACATGGACAATGACACATTTTACCAGTAATGAACTGATTTGACTAACCTACAGCAACCTGCCTAAGATATCTATAAGCTTATTCCCAATGGACTTTGTGTGTGATACGTAGGATTTGAACCTCCGAGCGAGTATTTCTTGTTCCACTCTAGCAACAACCACACTAAAACATTCATCAACAACATAACAGTTTTTATAGAAAATATATATACACATATAATAAATAAGGGGTGAACCCATCGCACGGTAGAAGACAGTTGTTTTCTTACATGCTTTTTGTCCATCAGTCTTTTGTGAAATAAGTCTCTGTATTGAAAAGGGGACGGGAGGGGGTGCTGGTCTGTGGAAACCACTACATGGAAAAGGGGTTCTCCTGGAGAATGGAGCTCGGCGGTGAAGCGGCAGGGGGAGATGCAGCCCGGCTCGATATTCATCCTCCGGCTGAGTGTCCAATTAACCTGCGGATGCAATCAATTAGACAGACTGCAGACTGATGGAGCCTGACACAGGAGGCAAAGGAAATCTAAAGTCACTTGAAACATGGACTCAATATAACGGCACCTCAGGCGGCTCACTTTGTTCCAACCGTCTGTAACAAACCAGCTCACACAGACAACACACAACTTTTCCCTCTCACTTAATCTGAAAGTTTTAACTGAGGATACAGGTTGTTTTTGTACAGAAAATAAATAACCATGTGTGAGAGAGTGAGGATTAATGCTCAGCAGGGCCGTAGCCAGGATTTTATAAATATGGAGGTCATGAGCCAAATCCCCCACCCCCCACAACCCTTCTTCAGAAAGGTTCGGTCAGACCGCAAAAATAAAATATCTCTGTGGTATATGTGCATATGTTTTAAACATCTGAATGTCGTATTTTATTAATTCATCTTTATTTGATGTATTTCCTAAATCAGGAAAATAAAACTGTAGTGGGACATATTGAATCCATTATTTATTTATTTAATTCCTTGCTGCTGTTGGACTAAAAGAAAAAGTTAAATGTTAACTCTCCCAACAATGCTAAAATCCCTAATTTCTTTAAAAAAAAAATACAAAAGATGTGACCTTAGACCTCAGTGGTAGCTACGGCCCTGCTGTTCAAGTCGTGATCTTGGGTACAAATATGAATAAATCATGGCGGGTTAATGTCGAAATGCCTTTAAATTCATTCATTATATGTGTTTTGATCAAGAAGTAATTGGGATTTTGAATAAGCTAGCAAACTAGGCTTCTTAAAAAACTGTAAAAAGGAGGGGTGGGGGTCAGGTTTCAATGCCTCCCTTCAAATCAAAGCCTTTGCAGGACTAGTGTCTCCACCATGTTTGGGGACTTATGCCTATAATAACTGAATAGTACAAATGTGTGACCACATTGCTTCCAGATGTTAGTCCATTGTTTTGTTTTGTTGGGTTAAAACCTCAGTGTGACAACAAACCACCACGTGACACACAGAGCCACGTGCATGGACTCTAGCTGTCCCAGCAGACACAATGCAGCTTATTTCTCTGGTTAACAGTCTGACGAGCTGGCTCTAGGGGGTCACGTATTGCTGAGACTGTGCTACGGTACAGGTTAGAGTGTCAGAGTACATTTGGAAGTGAATGTATGTGTACGAACTGACAAACAGCGGGGGTTCACCTGACCGCCTGTGACTTCTGCGCGCAGGCTGTGCGTCTTTACGCTTAATTCAGAGTTTCTGTGGCATTTCACCAGTTTTTAAATGTTCAACTTTAACACTGCGGGCTTAAATATGTTCTAACTGTGAGTCATTACATTTTTGAAATGAAATATATAAACAAATATACATCTCCCCAGTACTGATGTAAATAATTACGCGAAGTGCGTCATTTAAACCAATTTATCTCCGCGCGTAAAGCCATATGTTTGGATATGGAGAAGTCCTCCTTGTATGAATTATCAAACCTGCCTGTGAATGGATATCCTGCGGAGGGTTTCACCTCCATGAGGGGGACATTTAGCCAGGCCTACATTAGGGGCTCCCAAACTTTTTCTTTACGCCAAAAATAAATCCACATTGTGTCCACTGCTGGAAGAAAAATCGCTCAGGGTTTGATCTGTGAGGGACGACTGTAAGCTATGGTGAAAACAGACGTCCTCATTCGCGGCACACATATCCAGGGAATAAAACAAAAACCAAAAATGGGTCCTTAATTTGCAAGGGGATCCCCAGGTGGTCCCCGGACCTGGGGACCCCCTCCTTAATCTCGCTTTCTCTTGAGCTGTCTTACCGCTAATGGCGCACCACTGTCCGCGGGACTCGCCGCAGGTCACGCTACGTTTGGCGAGCTGCGGACCGTCTTCTGGCCGGGCATCTGCACGACGAGCAGCTGCTGCTTCTGCCGGGTGGACTTGACGGCCAGGATCGCCTGCCGGTTCTTGTACTGGACCATCTGCAAGGTGATCTCCGCGTTCCAGCCCTCGTCCTGCGGGCACCTGAAGTCGATCTCCTTCCCCTCCATCATGACCACCGTGAAGTAGACGTACTTGCCCTTCCTCTCCACGCAGTCCACCGTCTTCATGTTGGCGAAGTGCAGTTCTTTGACTTTGCCCGCGTCCCCGCCGCCGCCGTGGTGCGGCTGGTGGTGATGCGGCTGGTCGTGCTGCTTGGGCGGCAGCAGCAGCACGCCGTCCTCGGTCAGGACGCAGTGCTTCTTCTTCCAGAGCTGCAGCAGCCCGTCGCTCCGCTTCTCCAGCAGACCCTCCTTGAACACCTTCCTCCCGTTTTCCAGCATCTTCACCTGGACGCTTCAGGCTCCCACCTCCCCGCAGGCTGCTTCAGTGCACAGGCGGCCGGGCGGACGGACAGATGGACGGCTGTCTATCCCGGAGCAGGTGAAGGCATGAGAAGCTGCTGTGACCGCGGTGGTGAGTAGTGTTGTAGTGTTGTAGTGAGGAGGCTGCCTGCCTGTCTGGCTGCTGGTCACAGTGTGTGTGAGGGGGGTTTGGGGGGCGGGAGGGGTCTGCTAGAGAGTTGCACCGCCCCCCTCAATGGCACCCAGCCTCCTGAGACACTGACAACAATAACAGCCTTCAAAATATAACATTTTTCAATGTTGACAGCCACTTTATTTTGAAATTTGGATTTAGTGTTTTAAAGGTACATTGTGATAATGGTGTTAGTCGACTATAATCTAATATGCAAAAATAATCAGTTCAGATGCTTTACTGCACTTTATAGTTTATGGATGGATTTTTATTTTAAATACATTTATACACAATCAGATGATCCAAATAAGGGCTTTGCTAAATAATGCTGGTTTCTGAATGAAAACTTGTTGAAAAGGTGCACTTTGGTTTGTGCTGTTCACATTTCAGTTGTAAAAGGGACTAAACACACAGTAATGTCATTTATTACAATATCCCTATTGTTACTAAATAATAACAATTTAAATATTGAGCTGTTGTGTTCACTTCTTCAGAATATCAGAGGTTCATTAAGTCAGTTATGTTTAAAGCAGTTTGTGGTGTTCACTAAGTACGTTTGAGGTACTTAACTACATTATAGATAGGCAGTTCCCAGTCTGGGGGCCAAGACCCCCAGTAGGGGCTGTCGAGATAAATCTGAGGTGTCCCAAATTGATCCAAGGCATAAGACCGACAATAATGAGTTTAACAAAATCAAATCACTCCTTGTTTGAACCGATTACAATTCAAGTCCACACCTGGGATGAAGGCTGGAACAAATGCTGTACTTTCTACTGCGGCAGTTATCTCAAAGCTGTAGTTGCTCCTTTGCAGGCAAAACATTCCAAGTAGTTTAACTGCTCTAAACCACCTGCAACGTGCTGCTAACATGTTGAAATTCAATTCAATCATTTGATATACTGCATAGAACACTTTTTGATTTAAATATCTATTTCTACTTGTTCAATTTGGAATGCAGGTCTTTTACGTGTAATAGAGTTTTTTTTTTTTTACTAAGATAAAGGATAAGAACACGTCCACCACTGGTTATGTTGTATCTCATTTTGCTCTCCTCCTGCATATATGAACAACCTAATCTGTACTAAAGCTCGTGTGCCTGAACCTTAATCAGGCAACCCAATTAAGTCTTTTCACACTTGGGCTTTAGGATAATCTGAACCATTACAGTCTGCTATGTGAATTTTAATTTGTATCACCTATACTGCCCTCTCTGGGATTAAGTCTAATGGCTCTCTTGGCATTAGTGTGGTATCTGATGTGGTAATTTTTATTTTTCATTACAAACCACATTCCCCATGGAGGTCAGGCAGTGTCAAACACACTACACTCACAGCAATGGCTCCCTCTACTGGCATGTGGTTGTCCATAAGATGATTTTTCCTACCAGGTTATATTGGCCAGGTTTAATTTGTATAAATAAACTCAAATAATTTGTGGGTTTACAATTGTAATTAAGTAAATAAATTGTAATTTAGGTTTGAACACAGACAAACCTAGTGATCAAAAAACCAAACAAGTCAACAATGTTAGACATGTTTAACCAATTTATTCATGAACATACACGTACAGTTATTGAGTACATTAGTATTTTTGTAGCATAGCATTTTGCCTTGACAACAGCTGCTCAGAAGGACCCTACAGAAACCCTTCCACATCCTTTTCCAATGAACATGATCTGAATACTCCCTGCACAATGAGAAGTACCCTGGCTCTCCACAGTGGGCACGATGCTGCCCAGCACAACCAACACATGGCTGTTTTCACAACTAAAAAAGGCATTAAGAACGGACAGGGAGGGAGGCAGGCTACGGTTTCTTCTCGGTCCCCCTCCTGGCTTTAAGTATTGCTCTGACATGCTTCTCTGTGGCCTTCTGGGTAACAAAGGAAGGAGTCTGGCGTAGGGAGAGTGGTGGGTCATTGGCCAAACAGAATGGCCTTATCACACTTCCCCTCTTTCTTTCACAGTGATAAAAATGAACTGAGACCTCAGGGGCTGAGCTGAGGTCCGTGTGAGTCACCTGACCAGTCACGGATTCACCACACGAGGTAAAGGTCATAATCTGATGAGAAAACGTGTCGACAGACGTTTCAAAACCAGGTCTCCTTGTCATTCGCAGTGCTACATCTGTCCAACCCTGTTCCTACAAAGCCTCTCTGAACAGACCAAGTGTGCCTCCCCCAGTGTGAGAAAGGGAATCAAAACCAGATAGCACGAGTTGAACTCTCCACAGAGCGGGGTTACAGCACCGGCCCCCCTGCCCGTATAGGCAGAGGGGCGTCAAACGAAGTGCTGCTCACAAGGAATACTCAGACAGCTAACCGATGACAGGACGCCACTGGTACACCACACGCTAATACAAAGTGCTATAGAAAAGACGACAGCCACGCCACTGCGAGCCTACGAGGAGCCTGAAGCACTGGGGTATTGGGGCTGGGTGGTCCCGAACTGGCCATCCTGCCAAACCGTCTCATCCCCTTCCACATCTAAAGAATCCTCTGGAATGTTAAAGAGACTCGACCAGGCCGTACCAAGCCCCGGGAGCGACCCATTACGTGACAAACTAACTTTTGTTCAATTTAGAGGAGTCCGTCCAGTTGAAGAGAGGTGGACTCCCTTTGAGAGAGGTTCACCGACGGTGCCAGCCAGTCTGCTTACTGGAATGTATCAAGAGTGGAAAGTAGTTGAGCACAAGTGGCGCAGGAAGTGGCCAAAAACACCAACTCCGGATCCCATGCTCAGCAAGATTAGATAAACTGGAGTAGACACCCGGCTGCACGTCACCCATCTCTCCTCTCTCACTAGAGCTGGAAATGCTACAGTGCGTTTTACAAGTGCTAAAGGCCCCGCTAAGAGTAAGAAAAAAAAAAATCACCTGGGACAATCAGAACTGACCAACCTGGAACTTTGGTAGGAAGGAGGAGGAGGAAGGGGAAAAAGGAGGGGGTGGGGATTATAAATTGACATTGCCGCGATGCAGTCTAAACCACAGCTGTTGTCTAAGAGCAAATACAACAAAAGACTTCACAAGAACCCAAACTAGTTTTAGCAGTGAAGAAACAAGTTCATGCTTTTTGAGGGAGATTTTTTTTTTCCTGTATTCTATCTATTGTACAGAGAAGGAGGAAGAGAAGGAAAAAACAGGTCTAGTAAAATACTATGTATATTGAGCCACAGCTCCCAGTATATTACCATGAGTTTTTGTAACAAAAATCTTGAAACTTTTTGTCTTCAAATTCTCTACCAAGAAAAATACAAAACATTATAAGGCGGTAAGTAACTATTTTTTTTTTTCAATCTTTTTTTTGTAATTTGAGAAGCCGTTACAGTGCAGATGATCCTCAAGGCAGCCGGGCCAGGCTTCACTGCTGCTTGCACTCAGCTGGGGGGGCTGCATCCTTCTGCAAGAAATCACAGGGGTGGAGAGGAGGGGTTGTTAAGACAAAAACCAACATCACACAGACAGACAGACACACACACACCATACCAAAATCACATCTACACACAGCAAAGCCATTTCAAGATCTAAAACATTCAACAAGCTGCTAGAAACTCTAAAGTTGATCATCTCCAGACTACTGGGAACACAAACAACATAATTGACAGATATGAACGCGGGGACTATGACACATTCAGATCAGACACACTATGACAGCTGTGATTTGTCGTAGTAGCATCCTTATGAATGCAATGATTACAAAAAGGGTATTGGATCGTCACCATCTGAAGTGATCCCTGACAATGACTACCATTGTGGTACAAAGAATCTGTAGGTATTTAAAAAAAAATACTTTTAGCCTCTTTTACGTCTAGAAACAGAAGACTGGGAGGGGTGATAGTCTGACAAGGTCCTGGGTTGGATTTAAACTGGACATCTTAATATAAACACAATGGAGGCCAGGTAGAATAATTTGGGGAAATGCATTTGCTTTCTAGCAGACACTTCGATATGATTGATACCACTCTCATATCTGTCTGTAGAGTTTGAAGCTGGAGCCAGGAGACAGTTAGCTTAGCATAAAGACTGGACACAGCTAGCCGTCCGACTCTGTCCGAAGGAAACAAATCAGCTCACCAGCACTTCAAAAGCTCTTAAGTTGGAACTTGTTTGTTTAAAGACCAGACAGAATCAACTCGTTACACTCTTTTTCCATCTTCAGTCAGACATCGCCTCCACTGTTTTCTCAGACCGATGTACCCGCCTGAATTGAACGTCATTTTAGGTTGACACTGATGCGTAGTCATGCCAACATACAGGTTTGTCCGAGTTTTAAGAGCGAAGCGAAGTAAAAGCAAACTACAATGTTGGGTGATATTGAAAGACATGCCTTCTACAGAAAATAAAGCTTCTATAGCAGCATTTAGCTTGACAATGGCGTTAGTCCCCCATGGCATAACCACCTTCTCAACTGCAGTTTCATGTCACGCTGCCAAACCAGAATCAGTCGGCCCGATGGAGTGGGAGGATACAAAGGCCTGGACCCAGGCTACGCGTAACCACCAGTAAAACCTCAAATTCTGGTTGAATTGAATAGTTTCCAGTCTTTATACGAAGCGCTGCTAACTGGCTGTAGACTCCAGCTTTATATTTAGCATACAGACATGGGTGCAATCAATCTTCTAATTAACTCAGAGACAAAAGCAAATAAGCCCATTTCCCAAATTTATTACTCAGATTATTCAACTATTCCTTTAGCCAGTCAAATCAACGCTTCAGACGTGACCTCCCTCCATGAAGAGGAGCTGTTGATTTTTCTTATTGAAGGATTTGAGACCAGTATTTCACTGCCCTCAAAATGTTGGGACTTTTGAGGCAGCCACTACTGTTATCGATATTCAAGAGTTTTAAAGAATCTCATAATATGAGCTCTCTGGAGGACAAACTATGCAATGGGGCACTGTCAAAATTCCTTCAAACCTATTTTTGGCATTTCTGTACTGTGATTTTTTTGTGACTGACTGGCTGATGTACTGTACATCAATATTAATACTAGTAATAAGATAA